GACTGCTACTTGGGGCCGCCGTACAGCAAACTCTGGTACATCGGGGAAGGCTCCTGTGGCATGATGTGATTGTCCGCACCCCGTATGCCGGCCGCGCACCCCCGCGCAGATTCCCAACCGACCTAGGCGTTCACAGCCGCGGCCTTGGCCTAGGACCCTCGACCCTGATTCCAGCGCAGACCCCGACCCCCGCCAAGCCACCCCGTCTTCTGCGCGCCAGGAGTCTGGGGCAGGGCCTGGCCGCTCTTGCTGGGGCTTTGCTCCCGCAGATTCCAGGTCGGTCCTCGCTCAGCGCGGGGAGTCGGGGAGGGGCTCAGGGCATGGGGGCCGCGCCCCGCCGGGGCCCTTCGTGACCCCCAGGATGGGAACTTGAGCCCCCCGCCCCAGGGTGCACCCCTCGCGGCCTTCCCTTGACCACCCCGAGTGAAGTCGCCAATTCCTTCAGATGTTCAAGGCTGTTGCGCCCTTGTTCGGGAAGTCGGTTGGTAGCGGCGTGTGTGCAGAAACCCTGGATCATTGTCTCTTTTCGGCCCTTCACCTTTGTTTCCCGCTGACGGCTTGTCTTCAGCACCTTCCGCGGTGCCAGTGGTGCTGTCCTGCGAAAGCTTTCTACAAAGCATGTAGTGGGAGCAGTGTTGATGCGGAAAGTTTTTCAAACCTGAAGTTCCCAAATGGATTCTGCTGTGGTACTGTTCGCGGTTCAGGAAGGGTAAGTCAGCATCGCTGTCTTGGTTCCTTCAAGTGTCATTTGGTTTTCCACCTAAGTTGACGCTCCCTCTGCCACCGCCCCGCTTTGAGCCCAACTGAGCTTTCCTACTAGCAGATAGGCATCTAGATGTCTTAGCGCAATGACTGTGGGTTTTTCCTTCTAAGACTTGATCGCTCAGTGTGTATGCAGCCCAGATGGAGTTCTTGGAGAAGCAAATGCAGGCTCCCGGGGCTGGCTTGAGATCCCTCAGAATCGTCGGTGGAATCGTGTGATGGTGTTGTTACTGATTAATTTTTTTCCGTGAAACCAGCTCCCTTTTGTCTTTTGTGCTGAGGGTGACTTGTGGCCTTGGAGGCTCCCTACGACAGCCTTCATGGGAGTGTGTCTTTTATGTTGAATGAAGGAAGCAAACCATTTGTGAACACTGCATGTCAGATACTGTGCTTGGTATGTTCTCTCATGTTACCTGAACAGCCACCTCTAGAGAGGAAAGGGCAGAGACAGCTGTCTTTCAGAAGCGAAGGTGTTGCAAGGTGGAGCCAGTATTTATCATCATCCAAATACTCAGACTTGAGGTTGGAGCCTGAGATCCTCTTTTGGTTGCCAGAGCCCTTTTGATTGCTCCCTATTTTCCTTAATTACTGTTGGCAATAATTTTGGAATTTTAGCCTATTTCACCCTTACAAGCAAATTGATTCCAGAAACGTATTCAAATTTGAACGTCCAAAATTTAAGAAATGCATAGAGGGAATATTTGCCAAGTAGGCTAGCTAGGTACAGAAACTAGTTAAAATTCGTCCAAAAAAAAAATAAAGACTTGAATATGTCCATTCACTTCAGGAACAGAGTGCTGTGAATGAATGAATGGACTTGAGAACCATTCAAAGTGAAAGAAGTCAAACGTTGATGACACTTTCAAGTGGCTGTCATCAATACGCAAACATACAGAGACAGAAAGAGGATTAGTGGTTGTTGAGGCATAGATGTGGAGACAAGACATAATAGCGAAAGGATATGTGGTATCTCCTGGAGATAATGAAAACTTTGTGAAATGTATTGTGGCAATGATGACAAAGTCTATGAATATGCTGAACCCCACCCCCAAATATTGTACACTTGCAATGGGGGACTTATAGGCTATGTCGATG